TACATCGTGCTGGCAGCCAGCATGTGCATAACAAAAGCATCTGTGTGGATGCGTGTGTGGAATAGCAAGGTCTGCTGCTCCCGTGCCCACGTGCTCAGTGCTGGCATCTCGTGCCCAGGTGGATTCCTATTGTGCTGTCTAAGCCTCTGCAGCTTTGCTTTTGGTCAGTTGGGTGGCTTTTTCTCTGTATTCTGTATTTCACACCACAGCACTGGTGTGAAAAAAAAGTCACTGGGTGATGCCAAACTCCTGCTGCCAATCTCCTGCTGTTTGCACCCCATGTGCCCACTGGACCAGGGCCCGCTGCTTCTGCCATGGGCACGTGGGGCGCAAACAGCAGGAGTTTGGCAGCAGAACAGCGCTGGTCGTGGGGCAGCACGGGGCTCCTGCCCGTGTGCAGGCAGGCTGTGTCACAGCTGTACCTCTAGCTCGAGCACATGCTGCTGCCATGGACCCTGGAGCTTTTGCTCGCCCCAGACCGAGATGATGAGTTATGCAGGTGACCCCAAAAGCACACCATGGGCTCATTATCCCCCATCAGCCCAGCGCCTGAATGTGCCCCAAGTGCACCAGAAAAAATACCTCCTACAGAAGTGTTTGAGAGGCCTCTTAAAACTTTTATTGGTGCTATTTTTTGTATCCCTCCACCTGTGGAGCAAGGCATCTTTAGTGCATTCAGCCCTCAGCAGGAGAGGAAAATTATAACTGATCCATTTCAGAAACCTCTAAAAGTGACCTAAAATAACTTTTCTATATATAAAAGTGTCATGATTTTAATGTCCATTATCTCATGACCTAGCAGAGCTAGGAAAAGCTCTTGTAGATCATTTTTAGTGGTTTCTAAAATGGATTGGTCACAGTTTTCCCCTGCACAGTGGGACTCAGGGTACAAGGACAACTGGGCTTTAGAGATGAGGAGGGAAACAAAAATCGGTTTCTGTGCTGGTGTATCCAGAACTGTTTCATCCTCCAGGACCACTGGTGGTGCTGTCCCCAGCTGAGCAGAAGTGCTGAAGCTGGTCAAGTGACAGCTATTTCCAAAAAGCCATAGAGACAAAGTTAAATGGATGCAAAGCATGAGGCTGGGAAAGCCAGCTGTATTCCTGCTACTGGCCTTTTCAGGGATCTGCAGGGACAGTGACCCTGGCACCAGCTTTCACTGCTGTGGGAGACCCAGATTTTGCTGGAGCATCTCACAGTTTGTGAGCCACGTGCCCAGATGGGACGTGCTCAGCTCTGAGCTCAGATCTGAGCCTTTCCTCGCCTCACTCAGGGCTTTTGCAGCGAGGCTGGTCGCAACCCAAGCCTCTGGGAAGCTGCCACAGCCAGGCATTAAACATGCTGGGTTTTCAGAGAGGACATCAGCAGAGCACATGGGAGAAGTGGCTCCCCGCCATGCTAGAGGTTAATAGACAGATTAGAGAGGGCAGGCGCTGTTTGTGGCAGAAGGAAAAGAGCTCTGCTTTTACTGAGTTCAGCAGCTCCATGAGGCAACACGGGTGTAAATATTTGCCAGAATTAGGGAGGCTGTGTGCAGGAGCCCAGGGAGGAGTGGCCAAGTAGCCCAACCTGTTGTTTGGGCTGTTTGTGGTGTGGGGCAGGTGCTGAGAGCTGGACATCATCTGGGGGAGGATGGAGAAGGTTGGAGCAGGACACCCCACACCCAGCAGCACTGCCTAAAACCTCAGGGCAGAAAAAACCTCTAATGCTGCTCCCTTGATGGCTTTGTTTTCCTCCACTGCCTTTCTTGCTCTCTCTATTGGCCTGATGGGCTGGCCCACCTCCAAAGACAGCATTACAGCACACTGGATCGATTGGAGCCTGCAATTTTATTTGCTGTCTTTAAGAGCCTTTGATGGGCAGCATGAGCTGTGCCAGTGAGCGCCTTTCCTGGGAGAGGAGGGGAGAGGAACAAGATTGCAGGCTGCCATCTCCCATAGGGGGTGAGGAACCTGCCACCAGCTTGGAGAACACACCAAGGCTGGGTGGGCAAAGAGAGCCCTCCTGATGCAGCAAGGCAGCTGGGAAGGGGTTGCAGCTCCGTCCTTTGTGGTGCCTGGCAGTGGTGGCCACAGTCACCCATGTGGTGTCATGGTCACAGCCCCCAGTGGCACACTGCACGGGCCTCACACCCTGCCATGAACCTTCTGCCCATCAAGGTGGAAAAGGGGATATCTGCCTGACACAAAAGGAGGGCAAAGGTTGGGCTGAGACAGGCTCCATACAGCAGCTTCCCTTCAGCTGCATCTGTGCTTGAACTCCGCATCGGGAGGGCAGGGATGTGAGGATCACTTCATCTCCCTTCCCCAGGCTCTCCTTCCACCTCTGGCTTGCTGAAAGACACCAGAGGGTGAGAGGTGGAGCGGGCTGGACACAAAAGGCTGGGGCTGCTATTGGGGACCAGCCTTGAAGTAGAGGGCAGGATTTTCGCGGCACTCAATGCTGTGGAAATGGGGCACCTTCAAAGGCTGCTGCAGAGTGGGGATCGAAGAGGGTTGCAGGATGCGCAGCCCTCCCTCCTCCTCCCAGCCTAACGAACCTGGAGGAGTGAACCTGCCCCAGCCTCCTCAGCGGAGGAATTAGCACAGATCACCAAGCGCCAGATCCGGCGTGATACTGGAGACAACAGAGATAAATTATCCTGAGATGGACTAATTGCGGCGCATAGCAGTGCAGCATCTTGGGCCGCGCTGGTAGGGCTGCACCCTGCAGGACTCCAGGAATGCTCGAAAAAGCCCCGCCTGCTTCAGCCTGGCTTCCCTGCGACACCCGGTCCCGGGAGGAACAGCTGAGCACCAGCAGCAAGTGTGCGAGCCGCCCACGGTGGCATCCCCGGTGTCCCCCGCGTCCCCGAGCAGCAGTGCCAGCCCCATCCCGCTTTGCCGGGCAGGTGCTGCTAGCCCACAGTGCCACCACGCGGTCACCCGGCACCCAGAGGCTGTCCCCAACCCCCCAGCACCCCTTCAGCTCCCCCGGGACACCCCCGACCCCCCCACTGCGCCCCGCAAACAGCAATGCTGCCCTTGACCAGGGCGGGCAGGGAAGGGGTTAAGGAGCCTGCGGGGAGGAGGAAGAGGATGGCGCTGTATCAGGGATCAGGCCCTTGTCTCTGGCTTTGCGATTAGCCATTCTGCTTGGATGTGGAGGGTCTGCTTGAATAATTTAACCCGGAGGCTCATTAACCAGGCTCTGGCCTTCGTCTGCCGGCTGAAGGCTGAAATGTCCATTAGGAGGAACACGGAGCGGAGCGGCACAGCCCTCCCTCCCGCCGGCCCCCTCCGCTCCCGCTCCCTCTCCTCCTTGCTCCCTGACTCTGCTGCACTTGGCTCCATTATCAGCTGCTTGCCCTCCAAGCCCTGCCCCAGGGGTGCACAAGGCCTGTGCCTCAGTTTCCCCGCTGTAGACCGTGGTAGGCTGTAGGCTCCAGCCGCAGGTGGGGCTCATTCCCGAGAAAGCTGTGCCCCAGCGTGTGCCATACCAGTGACACCCGGGCTCCGGGGCTGGAGAGGCTCCGGGGCTGGAGAGGCTCCGGGGCTGCCGGTCTGCTCGGTTTGATTCAAAAAGCCTGCTGGGAGAGAAGAGCAGGTCCTGGGATATTCCCAGTGGATGGATGGGGATGAGGGCTGATGAAGGAAGCGGAAGAGGGAGCACCATAGGATCAGACAGCCTTTCCAAGGGGAATCCTGTGCACATCAGGCCCAGAGAGTGTATTTTATGGCAAGGCACTGTGCCTGGGTGCTGTTCTTAACAATCAGTGCAAGTGCCTGGGTACCAAGAAGAGTTGACTTTGGTGTCAGATCAGGTAAGGTTTTTACCCACAAGGGGAAAATTTATCAGCCAAAATATATCAAATCTCATTCTTTGCATGCACCTTCCCTCAGCATTTTACAGAGCTTTCCTGCAGCCCTTGCTGTGCTCCTGCAGAAAGAAGAGGGCACTGCACATGCCTCCAGGAAAGCCAAGTACAGTGTGAACACTTCACTGGGTTTAAAATCCTCTTGTGCCTCCAACCTCTAGGATCAGCTGGTGAGGCCAGAGTGTTGCAGCCTAAATTGCTACTAGTAAAGTCCAAGGTAAAGAAGCAAAAATGAGCTTTGCATAATATCCACAGATGTTTAATTCAGCCGCATGGTGAGATGTTCAGGTCCCAGCCCATACACATGGAGAGTCCCCCTGTCCTTCTCCAGGGGCCTGGAGGCTGACCCTGGTCTCAGGGCAGTACAAAGATAAGGGCCAATCAGGGAAATGGGAGGCAGTGGCCCAGGAACACCTGTGTTCAGACATAGGAACGAGGGAAGGAGCCAACAGGGTGTAACTTTGGAGATGCGTCCCAAAGCTTCCACACCAGAGGAAGGCTGCTCCCTCTGGGTGCTCTCATCCTGTCTCCTGTTGCCTCTGTGACTCTTTGGAAGCAGTGCAGCAGAGTCAGGGATGCTCTTCCCCATGCCAAAAGCATCAACACTGTTAGTCCTCTTACAGAGCTGGATTGTCTCCACTGGTTTTAGATTGCTCCTCCTCATCTTGGTCCTTCTTCCTCCCTTTGGTGACCTCTGATCATTTAGAGGACCATCCCTCAATAAGTTTATCACTCCCCAGGGGTGTGGCAGAGAAAGCTGTGAGCAGTGTGGATTAATGGGGTCAAGAGAGCAGCACCTCCTCCTCATCAGCAACATCTCTGCCACAGCCTTGAAGACAATTTCCTCTGGTACCTGCAAACCATCTCTATCACTCCACCCCTCATTAGAAGCAGTGAGCTGCCCAAGGAGAAGGTGAGGTTTGCACTGCCCAGCCCAAAGCAAGGTGCCATAGAGGACCTCAGCAGAAGACATGGGACAAAGATCCCCAGATCCTTCCAACACAGACCAGGCTCCCCTTGCAAACTCTCCCCTCCCAGTCTGGCAGCAGCTGGCAGTGGTGGGTCATCCCTTTGCTCAGAATTTGGTGATAAGCTCACCTCAGGTGGCTAATTAGGTTAATCGCCTTTTCTCTTTCCCTGGCAGTGCCCCCGAAGGAGCCAGTGCTGATGTGCCGGTCCAACAACTACCCGAAGGGTTTCTACTGCAGCTGGCACCTGCCCACTCCCACCTACATCCCCAACTCCTTCAACATCTCCGTCATGTAAGTGTCTGGGAATAAAGGGTGCAGCAGGGTGAGTTTCAGTCCCCACAGCCTGGAGCAGGTCTCAGGTAGTGCCATGAAGTCTTGGGACAGTGGGTCTGACCTGTGCTGAGCACATGGCATCAGTGTCCCAAAAATGGGCATGGGGAAGGATTTTTCTGAGGACATACAAACTGGATGTTTGGGACCAGGACTTTGTGCCAAGAAAGTTTCAATTTCCTTAGAAGGGACCAGGAAAGTCCCCATCCCCCATGTCCCCTTTCTATGCTTCCCAAGACCATCATCTCTGCACCACTTGTTTGTAGTGGATGCTGTGCCCACTATTGTTTGGAACATTTAGCACATCCATGCTCTTTCCTGGTGTAAGTTGGTTGTTGTTGGGCAGCAGCAGTGTCTCTCACCTAGAGCTGGCCTTGGCATGGCATCATTCCGTACCCTGAGTCAGATTCTGGCACAGCTCTTATAGAGGCTGATGCCATGTATTATCTTCTGAGGTTGTGCCACCATCAAGAGACCTTGTTCCTCGCATGGGAGGGCCAGAGCCAAACCCAACCCCAGCAGGGTCCCATTCTTCCCTTGGGGCCAGCATGAGGATGTTCACTGAAGCCTCTGTGTAGGCCTGGGACAAAACCTCATAGACAGGAGCCCACACAATTCCCTGGCAGGAGGAGAGCAGCCCTTTGGCTGCAGCAAGGGCTGGAGCATGGGGACCATTTTCTTAGTGGGGATGCAGAGCTGCACAGCCTGCCTCCTTCCTCCAGCAGCTTGGGTAACTGCATCCACAGGTAACAGCTCTTCTCACCTCTGCTTTCCAGACACGGCACAAAAGACATGGTGTGTGAGAAGGATGCCGTTCCCAAAAACAGGTGTCACATCAGATACCTCCAGCTCTTCTCGACAGTGAAGTACAAGGTGACGCTGACAGTCACGAATCCTCTGGGCAAAAACTTCACCACGCTCACCTTTGACGAGTTCGCCATAGGTAACTTCCACAGCAGCAGCAGGCGGTGCGGGGGCTGGCTTGCTCTGCATTGTATCCTTTGGGAAGATGGGGCAGGGAAGGGACTGGCTCTCCAGGTGGAGATTCTGGATTCTCAGACCCCATGGAGATGGGATCCTGGGGGTCTGCCTCCTCCCTGGCCTCCTCCCTGTGCTCCTCCCATTCACAGGGCCCTGCTGGTGCCTGAGCATCCTGGGGGAGCCAGGCAGGATGCCCACAGGCAGACTCCATGCTGGTCACATCAGTGGCCTCGTGTCACGTGTGATCCCACATCAGTGTCATGTGTGATCCCACTCCTAGTGGTCCAGATCACCCATCGTTGCTGAGTTCTTCCCTGTTTGGGATACTGGAGAAAAAGCTGCCAGGTATTAGGGCAGAGAGCTGTGAAAATTGTGAGGCCCAAATGGTGTTGCCATTCTTACCCCTCAGAGGATCCCTAAAGGAGAGGTTTGGTGTTTGTGCTGGAAGCAGAGTCATGGGAATTAGGATTGGAAGAGAAATTGAAATGTCCCATTCTCTTGTCTCCAATCTTTGTCAAGATAAATCTCTCCTATAGTCAAGTCTCCCCAGCCCTTACCTAATACTCTCCTAAAATCCCTATTCCTTCTTTTGCATCTGTTCACTGCCCCACCAGGACAGCAATGTGGGACAGGGAGCAGCAGGCCCTGTGGGCTGGGGTGTCCATGTCTCAGGCTGTGCCACAGGAATGCTTCCCAACCATGTCCAAACCCAGGGCAGAGAAACTTCCCTGGCTGCAGAGGGTGGGCATGCACTGAGCAATCAATCCAGTGCCAAACACTGCCAAGCAAAGCAGGGAGCTTTCTTCAACATCCAAAGCTGGATTACAGCTGGTGGTGTGTCATCCTCAAAGAAGAGGAAAAATAGGAGAGAATGGAGTTCAGGAATACACTGGAAAATAATTTTCTGGTTGCGTGTAGCAATTACTGAACCTGAAAAACAAGTAAGTGAATAACTAAAGTGCAGCCAGTGGTTGGTCTTTGCCTTTGATGTGCTACACATCACAGCATGGAGAAGCTGGAAGTGCTGGTGTGCAGGAAGAGGAGCTCCACTGCTCTACCAGATTTTCCTTTTGTACTCCAAATCTTGAAAAATATCTAACAAGGCACCTGCTCTGAACAGAGCAGGGAAATAACTTTGGAGTGGGACTGTCCTGCTATGTGTCTGTAGCCATGGTCAGTACCATGGTCCATACCATTCCTTCCTAAGCTTGTGTTCATCAGTGCTTTGGGAATGCTGATAACAAGGGAGAGAGCTTAGAAAGAAAGCGGTGGAATTTCAATCACTTGGGTGCCTTTAAATGGAAATTGTCTTGTTTGTGGAAGATACACTCCTTAAAAATGAAGGTAACCTCCAGCCTGCATGACCCAGGACAGCAATTAAGCAACATTTTCCAAGTTCCTTGCATTCCCTCCTGCAGGAGTTCAGGGCACCCTCTTGTAACATCTGCATCCCACCCAAGCCCTGCCTAGCTTCTCAAACATCTGCTCCTCCATCCAGCACACAAGGGCAGTTCCCCTGGGGAAGCACACCCAGCTGCAAGCCTCGGGCATCCCAACACCAGCACAAAGCTGGATCCAGCACAGCAGTTTGAACTCGGCCCAGGTCGAAGGAGTGGTGAGCAGAGGCCAGCACTGCCCCAGGCCAGCCTTTAGCACGGGTCTACTATTGCTGCCTCTTGCACAAGTGTCTGGAAGGGTGCAGGGTGCCTGGACACGTCTCAGCAGTGCACTGAGGGGTTACACCACCTGGCATCACCTGGCTCCAGGATGGCTCTTGGGGAAGGGGTGATGGGCTGGTGCTGATAGGAGAGGCTGTGTCCTGGACCAGCCCACTCCCATGACCACTTCAGTATCCAGAAGCCTCAAAATCTCCATATTCTGCACAACTGTGAAATTCTCCTCCTCAGGATTTGGTACGGGTGCCATGCACCAGCAGCATAGACAGGGTGGTGACAGAGTGCTGAAGCAGGCAGTGGCAGGCTTAGCAGATCATTACAGCATCTGCTGCTGCTGACAACACCACCCACCCCAAGTGGAACTTCTCCTCATGCCATCCTGGTGTTAAGTGCACTGCATTGCTGTGTTTTGCTAGGCAGTTTTGCCCCAGGTTTCCTGCAGTCCTCACTGAAGCTTCAGTGTCTCTTCCAGCTTTCCTCTCTGCAGCTGCAATCCAGGACTGTGTGGGGAGTGCTGGAGGTGTGGATCTAGCATCCAGTAGGTTCTCTGGGGATCTCAGCTGGCCCGATGAGCTCTCATCTGGGAGATATTTCTGGGTTTCCCTTTGCTAGATGGAGAGTGGAAAACCTATGGCTCAGGGCAAAGCCGCTGCTTTGGCTCATTGAGAAAATGCTGAGTGGGAACATTGCAACATCTGCACACATCCTGCTAAAATGAAGAGACAGTGTCATCCAGGACCTGTGTGATGCCTCTCCAGAAATCCCTGGGCTCTGTCTGTCAGAGCCTGCCCTGTGTTTTTCCCTTAGCCTAGAGAAAAACATCATATCTTCTGCATGGAGGTTAAAGTGCAGCCACGTAGCCCCGATCTCATGCCCTGCTGGGGACAGAGCAACCCAAAGCCAAGGAGAGGGCAGTGCAGGGCAGGCAGCTCTCCCTCCCAGCACCATCTGAGCTGGGAGAAGACCCTCTGTTGGGTCAGACTGCCCATCCAGCCTGGGCAAGCACAAAAACCCCCTGGGAATGAGTGACCTCCTTTGGTTTTGCTTCTTCGCTCCTTTCTCCATCCCCGAAGTCACCAGAGGAAAATCCCTCCCCCAGCCGCTGGGAAGATGGTCTCTAATTGAGTGGAAAATGACTGGTACTTTCTTTTGCTGTCCTGAGCCCATGCCTTGCTGGCAGTCATGCCGTGCTGGTTATTAGCAGCCAGCTGCAAAGGGTCACTCTGCATTGTCATTTTCAATGATGACTGGAAAAGCTTTTCCGGCCCTCTGGCCCCCATCTCCTATTGGTAGGAGATCCGGACTGCCTCCTTCCTCATCTTGCTCCTGCAAATTGTTTTCATAATTACATCTTCTGCAAAAGTATTAATATTAATAAAGGTGAGTGTGAGGAGGTTCTGCAGAGCCCTGCGGACATCAGGCTCCAGCCTCAGAGAGGAGGAAAAGGGTCTGTAGGAAAGAGGACCTGGAGGCAGAGGAAGATGCCAGGGAGGAGTGAGGTGGTGTGTAAGCAGCTGCCACCTCCTTCATGATGGCTGGAACAGCATGAGGACATTTTTGGCTGACTAGGACACAACCACACCTTCCTCACTTGTGTTTCAGCCCAAGAGGTGTTTTTTGCATTCCCCAGGAAAGCCAGGACAGCACCACCATGCAGCAACATCCGCATCCTGCCTCAGCACCTTTCTCCTCATACGATCCTGGGGAAAAATATGAGAAGATGCACAGCATTAAAATGAGGAAGGCAGCCTTGGATGGAGCCTTGCAGGTGTGGGTACCTTCATCAAATGTGCTGCCCATGCCTTGTGTGACCTTGAGAAGGTCATCTGATCCTTCCAATTCCAGCTCTGGGCTGATGAAGATGCAGAGCATCTCGGAGAGGCTGCATGATACCCATGTCTGTATGAAATTCAGAGTCTCTGAACACAGGTATACAGTTGCCTAAGCAGAAGGTCAGTTCAATTCATACTACTTAGGAAGGCAGAATTAAATTACCTAGACTGACATTTGGCTAAGACATGGAGTTTAATATCCCTCTGCTCATGGAAAATGCCAGGGGATATTTAATGGCTGCAAGGGATCCATTTTAGTGCTTGTTGGAGAGACGGGATGGGCGATGGGCCACTCCATGCCACAGGGTCTCAGCTGCCTTTCTGAACCACCAGATTCATTTTGAGACATGTCTGACAACAGCCAGGGGCGATGGATAGCTGAAGACTCACAGTTAACAGGCGTGAGCGTGCAGCGCCTTAAGGAGAAGCTGCTCCCTGATGCTCTTCTTGCACTTCAAGCCCTGTCTTAGACACAGCAGCCAAAAACCAAGAGGGAAGAGCTGTGAGTAGCCTCCTGGCCAAGTTGCCTTCCCAGGAATGTCTGATGATGCTCCCTTAGCTCTGCAGGATAATATTACATCTGGTTTTATAGCCGCTTAACCAGTACTCAGCCTAATGCCCATCATCCATTATTATTATTACTATTACTGCTTTTATTACGTTACTGCCTGCAGGCCCTCAGTGAGGACAGGGCTCTATTATGCTGGCTGATGTACAGCCAGACAGCCCCTGCCTCACCATGTGCAGGCTGAATGGAAGCAGACAAAGGCTGGGGAAGGAGGTGCACTCGTCCCTGTCTGCAGGGTATAAAGGACTCCTCCAAGGTCATACAGAAATCAGAAAGCTGGACACGGCCTGTCTCCCCTCACTCCTCAGCTGCCCCCAAGGGACCAGTCCAGGTGTTTCCCGTGATGAGCACAGCAGGATGAGGTCTGTCCTAAGAGACATAGGTTTGTCCTCTCTGGACTGGCTGCCAGAGGTATGGTCTCCTCTCCTGGCTGTTGTGTCCCTGCTGCCTTGGAAGGACATGGCAGGAACAGTTTTGGCTTTGTGGTTTTGGAGGGATTGGCCCTGCTGTGCTCTCTAGCCTGGGCAGGAGTCCTGGGAATGGAGGGACACATGAGGAGGTACCAGGGACTTTTGGTTTTCCTGTTTATCTGCTGAGCTGTTTGAATAGCAGCTGGGAACATGAAACTGCAGCCAGGGCAGCCTTCCTCTGTGCACCAGCAACAGTGTCCAACTCACAGGAGAGGGGCTAGGGGTCACATCCTTGCAAAATGGGCAGGTGACTCCCACCTCAACCTCAGGGCACTTTTTTTCCTGGCTTCCTTTAGCAGTCACAGTAGTATTTCTCACTGCTGCCCAAGCACATTTGCCATGCCCAACTGAATTTAATCATGCCTTCAGGCTGGCATACTAAAAACCAGGGCCAGGCCCCCTGCATTACCCCAGGGAGTATCCATTGCATCCATCCCTAGCCCAGCACTTTCCTTCCCACCTCCTTGCTGCAGAGCTGCAGTTCACAGTCATCTGCATTCGTTCAGCCAAACAGACTTTTGTTTTGCAAACCCATCCTGCTGAGCCAACGCTGGATTTATACTTTTCCGTATGTGTTTGGACTCCAAGTCCCTGTCGATGGAAGCTGATGTCCAGCCCCAGCCCTGGGATTCGGAGTGAGCAGAGGAATTGCAGAGCCATCTGGAGTAGCTCAGCACAGCACAGCCCCAGAGAAGCGTTCCTGCTGCCGAGGATAAAGCTGTAAATGGAAAATTGCACCCTGTCCTGCCACAGAGAGGAGCCTGTGGGAGCTGGGAGGGGGCACTGGGCACTGTGGTCAGGCTCACCAGCTGGCCAGCCATTGCCAGAGTCTCTGGGAGCAGCCTCTGTGCCTGAAATGACATTGGGCAGGTGGAAGCTATCCAGCCCTGCTGGCACTCACTGTGACAGAGGGAAGGTGGTGAAATCCAGGTGGTGGTGAAGGTGATGGTGATGATGGCACACACAGAGCAGGGTGTGTGCCCAGGTGCTGAGCAACAGGAGGTTGGGGAGACAGAGGTAGTGGAGGGCCATGTCTCAGGAGGAACAGGTCCCACTGAGGTAGCTAGGCTGTGGCTTCACTTCAGCACCCTCTCTGCCTGACCTGCAGACAAGGAAGTGAGTTCCCAATGCACCACAGGCTGGTTTCTCCTGAGAGGAGCAAGCGGTGGCACTGCAGGGACAGTTGCTGCAGTGCCACCATCATTCTGGAGCAGGGGTGGCAGCAAGCAGCTAACATGTGACTGCACTTGCCCCAGACTGGCCAGGCATCAGCACCTGGTCCCATTTGAGTGAGGGAAAGATGCCCTTCACACATTGGGCAGGGCTGCAGGCAGGCTCGGGTGATGAGGGAGCAGCTCACTCACCACCACCTCCTTCCTCTCTCAGGGTAAGCAAACCCCTGTGAGGGCATCACTGCCCACCCACAGCAGGTGGGACAGCATGGAGAAGACCTGACTGCAGGGCAGGAGCTCTGCTGGGCAGAAGGGGGCTGCCCACAGCCCCACCATCCCTCCCCCATCCTGGGGAGGGGAGTTTGATGCTTAAATCTTGACAGGCTTCTGCTCACAGCAGTCAGGGCCCGAGGACCATTGTTCAATCCAGAAATTTTCAGGTCAGGAGGGATCCATTTGCCTGCATGTGGACTTGGAAGGGTCTTAAGGGCCTTCCCAGGACAGGAACACTCATGCGCATTGCTATTTTTGGAGTGCACAGAGAGCCCTCATCCACCTCTGGCACAGCTGTGTGCCTAGCTCCATGTGTCCAGCTCCTTCCTGACCATGATTAAAGGATAAGCATGGGCGTACACAAATTTTTTAGCTTTGCTGTTGCAATTGGGAGTTTGAGCTGTCAGGATTTGATCAAACCCTTGGCAAGGAGCACGGGCTGCTCTGCAACAGGCAGCGACATCCATCACAGCCTGTCTGGGATGAGCTTCCGGCACTCTGGAAGTAGCTGCAACATCAAAGCACGTTGCATAGCTCACAGCCAATTAATATTCACCTGAAATACATGGCAGGTAGCAAGAAAATATTCCCATATCCCAAAAGCAGAGCAGGGCAGTGAGAGAGAGAGAGAGCTGGGTTGGAAGGTGACCAGGGCAATCCTTCTCTTTTAGTAAATACAATGTGCCAATGCTTTGAATCCTCAAAACCCCAGCCCTGAGCCCAGGGGCCGAACTCTGCCACATTATTGTGAGGCTTGAATGTGCGTCAGACTCACAGAAATCACAACTCACAGCAGTTGCAAGGAAAGTGCAAGATTTTGGCTTGGTGGGCTCCTCATCCTGATCCAATTAGCCCTGTGTAGGAGGGACGCTCTCTGCCCTGGCCCGGTTGTTTCCATGTGTCTCCAGTGCTGTCACCTCCTTGGTGGTGGTATTTTGAGTCAGGACAGCCATACAGCTGACCTGGACAGCAAAAAGTGATTTGCATCTAATTAGTTTGGGGAAAGGATGCATGTTGGCTGCTTCTCTTGGAAAGCACGTGGTGCAAAGCCAGCCAGCTTTGCCAGGGGGTGTAAAGGGAGAAAGCCACATGCAAAGCTTTGCCAATCCCCCTTTTTTCTTCTCTTACAGTAAAACCAGACCCTCCGGAGAGTGTGGTGGCCAAACCTGTGCCCAATAACCCTCGAAGACTGGAGGTGTCATGGCAAAACCCCTCATCGTGGCCTGACCCTGAGTCCTTCCCACTGAAGTTCTTCCTGCGGTACCGGCCCCTCATCCTGGACCAGTGGCAACATGTGAGTGACTGGGCTGCACTGCCTGGCACGTGAGGGACAGGGGCGAGCTGGTGACTGGGAACAAGCTACATTGCAAAAAAGTGTTCAGGGACAAAAAATATGTATATTTACTGCTCAGACAACCTGGAGCCTGTTCCTCTCCTTCTCTTTCTCATTGCTTTTCTCTTCCTCTCCACCTTTTTTGTGGCTCACTCTCTGCCTACAAATGGCTCTGCAGCCTCTCCCTGCTCCGCATTTTCATCCATGGCCCCTATCTACTTTCCATACATATGTTCTGTATAAAACTTGCCAACGAGATGTAAAAGGCATTTAAAGTATAAATGTCACCACATTTAAATGTGCCTCTGCCACATTTAGATTTTGAACTGGAGATAAAATACTGCTCACCATAACTCAGAGCACAGTCACCGAGCAATTGCTGAGATGTTATCGTATTTCTTACTTTTATTTCTTGTTTCTTTAAAAAAAATAGTCAGTGAAATCCTTGGTAGCCTGGAGGACAGATTTCATTTGTTACTGCAGGAAGATAACAAACGGGTTTTTCTTTTTTTTTTTTTTTAAAGCTCTGTATGCTGCATTTATGCTCAAGTTGGGTAGGAATGCATTCTGTGGCTGGAGAGGAGATGCTGCTGCTCTGGCATAGCTCATCCAGCATCCCTTCTGTGCCCAAGCTGGGCCAGCTGAAAGCCAGTTAGGTGCTTTGCTTGATAAAGGATTTTGCGAAAAAAAACAAAAGAGAAATAAGGGGCAGGACTGGGTCCCTGGGCACCTGCATCAAAGAGCCAAGTGAGATTTTCTTCCAGCCAGCACTTCCTGGGGAGAGGAATGTTGGAAGAGTGGAGGGATGCTTTGCTCCTGGCTCTGTGAGGTGTCTTGGTGACTTTTTCCCTTTGCTTGGAATTTTTGTTGAGGCAGAACCACAGGTTGTGTTTCAAATTGCAGTATTTGCTGATTGCTCTGAAAAAAAGAGGGTTTTCCTGCTTGCTGATGGCTCTGAAAATAAGAGGGTTTTCCTGCTTGCCTCTTTGCCCTTTGCTTCTCTCCCACTTCTGTGGAGCATCCAGAGGGGTTAGAAAGCATTGGTAGAGATTGGCTATTAGTTTTTTGTAGGTATTTTTTTTCATCTGGGGAAGGAATGCTCAAACTGTAGAATATATGTAAAAAGGGGAAAATTTAGTGGGAACTGCCAAACACGACACTGTTTTTTTCCCAAGGTGTGCAACTGTTGTGGAAAAAGCTGATGGTTTTACCCTGCCACAGCCAAATATCCTGGTTTGCAACCAAAAATGGTGGGGTAGCCACTGAGCTACCTCCTACCTCAACATCCTCGGAGTGGCTGGTCCCTCCATTACTGGATGTGGGGTACCATAACTGCAGAGTCAAGCCATGCCAGTCCCCTCTGGCAGAGCCCTGAGGGGATGCTGTGGCCTCTCCATCAGTGCCCTCAGGCAGGCAGTGACAGTGGGAAATACATGGTGGTGTTGGTGACACTGGTGGCAGGGCCATCCTAGTTGATAAAGGCAGGTTTTGGGCAGTAAAAATGTAACTTCTTCTATGTAAAAATACCCTGAGGTGCAGAGAGACCTCAAGGTACCAGCTCGTCTGGTGGGTACAAGGGTTTGATTTCCCAGCATTTCGGGAAGGTGTAGCAGTCCTGGGTACAGCTTTTAATCAATATCCCCTTGCAAAAGACATGTTCCTCATCACTGACTGATGGAGAAGAGTGTTTGGGGAATAATTTGCTCAGTGAGCAAGTGCAAGCATTCAGTGAGTGAGGTGCCAGCCTTGTTTTCCGACTCTCTACCCTGCTGGCTGGTTAATGAAAAATTTGATTTGTGGATGATTTGAGGAAAACTGCCACTATTCATCAGATGAATTATTTGCAAAGCCTAATTCAATAGTTTCCCAAACACCAGGGAAAGGCAGGCAGCTGGAGCTGCTCTGACCCCAGACCCCACTGGTACATTCAACCTGCTTAGCCCAGCTGAGCACCCTGCAAATGCAGGTGTTTGTACCCATAATTAACCCCACCAATGCCATCATGCTGGGAGCGTGCCCAAACCTCCCTGCACTCTTTGTTTGCCTTCTTATTATTTTGGAGAGTGTCCCTATCCCCCCAAATTGAGACAGAAGAGGGAAGGACACAGTTTGATAGATCCAAGTCTTGCTCATGTGTCCCTCTTGTCCTGCAGTGCTGGTGTTGGGTGTCAGCTCAATGGGATGACTGCCCTGAGAAAGGATGAGGTGGTCACACATGTGATGCTCGCATGGAGGTGTCTTAATTCTCATGGAGGTGCGAGTCTCTTGCCATGAGCTGCCCCCCACCTTGGCTCTTGCTGTCCCCACTGGCAGCTGGCACAGAGAAGTCCTTGCTTTTTTATAACCTGCACACTGACAATGGGGCAGCTTGGAGCTCAGCAGGGAGAGGAGAAGTCCTTGCCAGCAAACAGGAGTTGGGTGACCTCATGTTCTGGCATGTCCCTGTTTGCCCAGGGTCCACAGGCTGAGCCCTGTCCCTGCCTCCTCATGGCAGCCCACCTCTGCTCTGGGCTTTAAGCATGTACTTGGCAGCACTGTAGGAAGGATGCTCCCACAAAGGAGCATCCGAGGCTGCCCAGAGACAGAATATCCATGCAGGCCCTGCTCACACGTGGTGTTTCTTGGCAGAAGAAGCAGCTCCTCTTTCACCTCTCCACCTCCCGTTATCTTTGCAGGGTCTGATTTATGCACAGCACCTCGGCAGGCAGGACCCAATGAGCACTAATAGGATCAGATGGATGTCGAGCTGTCGAATACCATAGGGCCTGATTCAATCAGCGTCTGCTTTCTTCCAGGCTCTTCCTTTCAGGATTTTAATAATGCCAGGGCTTGGCACCAGAAGATGAAGCCATCCGTGGCAGGAGCACTGGATCTTATCGAGACTGCCACAGTGTGAGCTGGCCAGAAATGCAGTTTCCCCTGCTCCACAGAAAGTCCAGTGGTGCCTGGCCCAAGCACCCCACTCCATGAAGCAATCTCTGGGGCTGACCCAGCAGTGGGGAGGACACCCTTGTCACCTGCGCAGTGCTTTGCAAATTGGATTTCAGCCCCAGCGTGCCATTTGCAGTCCCTTTGCTCTGCTCAGCAGCACCTCTCCACTTAGCAGCTCTCATGTTGCAGTTTGCTCTGAGAATTACAGTGATGTGCTCTGGGAATTACTATCATGGAGGGATGATGATGATGAGTTCTCACATGGGCATACAGTGAAACGTGCCAGATTGCACAGCAGCTCCCTTGAACCTGGGCACAAGCATTTCATAGCTGTTGGGGATGCAGCCGTGTCACATTATGCCACATCATGTGGCCAAAAGCTCCCTTCCACCCCACCAGCGCTGAGCTCACTCTGAAACTCAAGCAACTTTAAGATCACACTCCTCCCTTTCTGGAAGAGGGGCTAGTGGTTTCTCTGCTGCCAGAAGAGAGATGGATATTTGTAGCCTAAACAGGTTTTTTATTCTCTCCTTTTGGCAAAATCTCCCCTTCTGTCTCCTAAATATAAAACATTAAATGTTTAGGGTATCCTTTATTTTTCTCCCGCTTTTAAGTTTGTAATTCAAGCCAGATTAGCGTGGTTTCCTCTTCTGTTTTATAGCCCCATCCTGGCCCCAAGCGAGCTCTCCTAATGCTCTCAGATGTTCCTCTAATGGCTTACCTAGGCTGGAACTGGATACCCTTTCCTAATGGATCGCTAATAGCCTGTTTCTGGTTTTACAGGCTCCCTCGGTTAGCTTGCAGCAGCAGCAGCAGCAGCAGCAGCAGCAGCAGCAGCAGCAGCAGCAGCAGCAGTGCTCGCACATGCGATCTCCCTGCGCGCACATCTGCACGCTCACCCCTGCACAGCCGGGTGGCCTGACACCATCCCGGGCATCTCCAGGGAGCCACGGGCAGGCCTTGCGCCCAACTCGCTCCCTTCCCATGGCGTTTTGTGGAGCTGTATCCCCCCTTCTCACAGTTTTTGGAGGGAGATCATGTGCGCTGAGCGCTTGCCAGCTCGATGCACATCCCAGGAATGTGGCAGGGCTCAAGACGGTATTTCTTGCACAGCGTCAGAGCTGGTGGCCAGACCGAGGGAGGATTTCCTACTGTGGGTTGCCAGCAATTTGCAGATGCCGTCCTGAAGTCTAATTGAACCCATTGGCCGCGCTGACAACATGAAATGTTAACGAACCGTGAGGCGGGCTGCACCTCAGATCTTGAGATTTGCAGGAAAAGGTCATGAGATATTTAAAGCTAATAATGTGGTTGAGTTCCCTCCTTCCTCTTCTGCGTTGGAAGCATTAGGGCCATGTTCGTGAGCATTTGCAAAGGCTGGAAGCGTCCTTCTCTGGAAGTGCAAGCAGAATTGCTCCCACCATCACAGGGTTTTAGGAGCTGGGGCAAAAAAACCCCAAAAACCCCACGCAGACATCTGTGCCTGCTCTGATGCAGTTAAATGATGGGGTTTTGGGGACAGGAATGAAAAGTTTGTGGGCATTGCCAAATACTTAGTAGTGGGTTTGTTGGTGCAAGCATGGCATTGTCCCCTAGACTGACCTCCCTCATCCCTGTTGCAAGTGGCTGCCAGGGTGGGATCAGGCTTGTCTCCCAGGGCAAAGCAACATGTTTTCATCAGAGAGGTGAATCTTACATGCTGTCTCTGGAAGTTCCTGCCTTGGAGGAGCCTAAAACAGCCTGAAAGTGTGAGCTAATGCATATATCCTGTCTGTGATGGGCAAGGAGAGGGATGGAGCAAGCTGGGTAGGAAGGCAATTAGTGCCACTGCCTGCCACAGCAGCGTCCCTGCCGGCACGGTGGCAATGTCACTTTGCAGCAGGAGTGCCTCCTTGTGCCCATTTGCATCCCCCTGTGCCTCTGCTGCTTTGCCTGCACTCCCCCTCTTTGCAAGGCAGTCTTGGCAGGGAGGTCACCCTGAGCAAGCTGGGTTACAACTTCACGCCTGGTAGCTTTTATTGCAGCATTTC